GGCCGCCATTGGTGTCCTTATGCTTCCTCTTGCTGATGCTGTCAATTCTTCAATTTCGGCGTTCAGTTTGTGTATCACCCATTCCATTGCTTCTCGGCCCTTAGGAAGTGCAGGAATTCATTGTTATAAGAGCAAAGGTATATGAAACAAAGATGGCAAGCAGGATGAGGGGGGGCTACAGGTTAAACCTCAAGGACAGATCTCTGGCCCTTTCTTTCTTTTTCTTTTCAGTTATTATTTACCAGATACCAAAGGCCTTGAGCAATTGGCTTAATCCAGAAGCCAAATTTTATTTTGTATGCAGAAGATGTTCTAGAAGAATGTCAAGGTTGGATGGCAGGATGTCTCAATGGCTGTGTGATTGGAGTGGCCAAGCCCTTTTCTTTGGATCAACACTGCAGATCACTCATGCACACACCCCCGATCTGGCCCTTGACCCTGCCCCCACTAGCCCTCTTCCTTCCCGAGGCTCTACAGTTTCTTGAGGAATGAAGCGAGAGCACTTCAGGCTTCCCGCTGAAGGCCTTTGCACGTGCAGCTCCCCCACCCCAATGTTCTTCCTGGATGCTGCTCGCACCGCCTCCCTCCCTCCCTCTCAGCACCGGGCAGAAACACCAATTATCAGACACTCATTAAGCACTCCCGCCTGCCTTTACTTTTCCTTTCCTAGCGGGGTGCTGTGTGATTAGTGCTGCCTTCCTGAGTCCTCTGGTGGCAGAGCACATCTGTTTTGCTGCCTGCATATTGAGCGTGCCTTGACAGAATGATTTGATGAAACATGTCAAAGAAACAATGTGTTGGGCATCTTCCCCTAAACTTATTGTTTTAACAAGGGGGTCATTCCAATGGAGTAACAAGTGGGGGGGGGGGCTCACTATTTTATGTACAAGACACACATGTGGCACGTGTATCAGATAATTTCATGATGGTGGTCAGAAGTTAACGTCTAAAACTGATGGGCATCACAGACTACTGCCGAGGACCAGCACTTCCAGCAGACACAGCACTGTTCACATGCAAGCATGTCTACAGTAGGCCAGGCCTGGGCTCATCTCGATGCTGGTGTGTCGACAGACGTGTGCTGGACTCCAGAGCCCACACAAACACTGCCTAACGTTCTGCCTCTCCCTCCAGAGCGGGCAGTCAGCTGCTTGACAGGCAGTGAGCCTGGGGTGAGGAGCACTGAGGAGAGGGTGCCTGGCCCACTTACTTTGTTAGCGTTGGAGGATATGGTGCTTGCCATGAGTCCTTCAAGGTAGCTGCTGAGGCTGACCCCTTTCACGGTGATGATGGCTTCCTGGGTCAGGACAGTTCTAGCAAAACAACCCACAGCTTTAGATGACTCGTGGTTGATTTTCAAAGAGTAAGACACAAGAGCGCTTCACTGAGTCAGACCACCACCCCGCCTTACTCACTTCTCTGGGTCCTGGGGGTGCGGCCTGTATGTGAGCCTCTCATCTACAGAGACCATATTTGTAAATGAGATCTACAGGGGAGAAAAAAGTCAGGACACTTTGGAAACCAAGATTAGAAAGATTTCTAAAATCAACATACAACTCTAAATCTTATTTACTAAATGCACACACAAATAAACCCTTAAAATAAACCATCTTGGCATTACTAGGAAACTATAATTTAAATTTCACTATTTAAATTTATACTTAAATTTCATCAAACTTTTATTTGGACAGGGAGGTGGCTCTACAGGTGAAGAAAAGTGTTTCCCCTAAGCCTGATGACTTGAGCTCTATCTATCCCCTAGTAGGAGAGAGCTGACTCCCATGGCAAGCTGTCCTGACCTTCACATGGTTTCCTGAGCATGCCCCTCCCCTATACTCTAAATGTAAAAAAAGAAAATGAATTTAGGAAGTTTAGGGCTAGGGTGTATACAGTACCTCCCCTCCTTTATTATTATTTATTTATTTTTAACTTTGGGATACTAGGGGATTGGACTTCGGGCCATCAACATGCTAGGAAAGTGCCCTAGCCTTTAAAATAAATAAGCTGAATGGTGGTGGTGAAGCCTTTAATCCCAGCACTCCAGAGGCAGAGGCAGGTGGATCTCTGAGTTCAAGGCCAGCTTGGTCTATAGAGCTAGTTCCAGGACAGCCAGGGCTACACAGAGAAACCCTGTCTCGAAAAACAAAACAAAACAAAACAAAACAAAACAAAAACTATATATATAATATATATCATATATATAATTATTAAAGGAGCCTTTCTTTATATTGCCCCAAATAGCCCTGAATGCAATCTGTAGTCATGCTGGCTTTGAATTTGTGATTCTCCTGCCTCAGCCGTCAAAGCAGCTGGACTACAGGCATATACTACTATGTCCAGCCAGACACTGCCTTTTGATAGCATATACTCATGTATATATTTCATTTGTCATCTTAGGTCAAAGAGTGAAGAATTAAAACAAAGAAGGCAGGACTCACGTTAGTGGACTTGAGCTCCATCGTCTTTCTTACCGGGTCAACTACAGAATGCTCTTGCACGTACGTTTTTGTTCTTGCGGCACCAATAAGCTACAGGCAACACAACAGTTAGTAACCAGAGTTTCCAGTCAAGCACATCCATCTTTCACTTTAAGGTATAGATGTGTTAATTATGCTGAACCAAAACCTATTGGAGCTAACAGGGACTTGCACACAGAGGAAGCCAAGACTGCCATATGCCCTACTTAATGACTTCACCAGAGGCAATCAGTAACCAGCTCGCTGATACTGTGATGTTATACTCGCCATGGTGTGATGCTGACGCAGGGAAGGGGACATCTGGAAGCCAGAAGACCCCGGGAAGCACCCTGTCTGGCAAGAATTCCACATCAGCCAGTGTCTCAAGCAGCCCAGGGAGAAGCCCTGCCCCACCCCGATTGGCTAGATAAGAAAGTAGGCCTCACAGCTGAAGGGGGTACATCCACAACAAGTACCCCTCCATGGGTGCGTTCCAAGCCCACCCTCCTCTGCTGTGGTGGAAAGCAGGCTCCTTCCTCTTCTGAATAGAGACCCAATACAGAAGCCTGGATCCAAGCGTCACCAGTGTATCACACCAACTGGCATTCTCGTTTGTCACTGGCTCACCAAAGCTTGATGGTTTGTCATAAAAACAGAACTACTTTTACATGAGAGAAAGGACCAGACCATGGCCTAAACGTTGAACAGCAAGCCAAACACAATTCTTGTCCCTTAATGTACACAACCTACAAGGGCCTAATGTCACCTAATAGCTAGGACCCAACCATTGTAAATTCCATGACAGGCCTTAGACTGGAGCAAAAGCAGGAAAAGATGTGACCCTTCTCCACTGAGCCAGCCTCCTACAGCCATGGTACCTTTAGGAGGACTGAACAGTATTTCTAATTCACCACACATTCCTAACTCCTTTATTAGAATGTAATTTCAACATGGCATCTGAATGGAATATGGTAGAAGGTTCCAGCACGTTCCCAGGCAGGGCATACTTACGGACTTCACAATGGAAGGCAGGCCCCACTCTGTGCTGAGGAGTCTATGGCTGTGCAGCTTTCCAGAGGGATCAACATGTCTGTCTAACACGTCAACGCCAACCACGCTTGGGTTCATGGGGTTTGGGTATTTCTGCATTGCAGCTGTGGTGACCATTTCCCATGGGTGGCTGCAGACAAACCAGAAATGGCCGATGAGGTAAGCCATTCTTCTACCACAGCGAGGTGTGCTTTAGAACGGCAGCAAGTTATGCTGGGAAGTAACTTTTGGAGACACTGAGCGATGATGATTTTTCAATGTGTACAGACTTTAGTGTGTCCAGAACACAGACTGTACGGCACACCAGATGCCTAAGAAGCAAACCCTTAGAGAGGCATGCCTCTCACTCAGTCCTTCCTTAATCTCTCCTACCTACCACTATCCACAGGTAAGAAGAATCAACAACCTAGAAAAAATGTATTAAAAGATGATGTTTAATCTTGTGTCTGACTACAGTTCTGTTGTGGGACATTATTTTAAGGTTTATCACTTTGGTTTATGTTGTATTTAACTCTGTGAAGCTGTGTTACTGTGCTCGTCTAAGACATCCGATGGTCTAATAAAGAAGTGGCCAATAGCAAGGCAGGAAAAGGACAGGCAGGGCTGGCAGGCAGAGAGAATGTATAGAGGGAGGAATCTGGGAGAAGGAGGAGCCAGAGAAGGGGAGGACACCAGGGGCCAGCCACCCAGCGACACAACTAGCAAGCAAGCCCCGGAGTAAGAGTAAGATTTATGGAAGTCAGAGAACAGGAAAAGCCCAGAGTCAAAATGTAGACGGGATAATTTAAGATAAGGAAAGTGGCTAGAAACTATGCCAAGCTAAGGCCAGGCATTCATAATTAAGAATAAGCCTCCATGTGTGACTTATTTGGGAGCTGGGTGATGGGACCCCAAAAGAGAAAAAAAAAAAAAAAAACCCACCAAAAAACACCAACCAACCAACCAAACAAAAAACCCCATCATACCATCGATTTATGATTAAGCATTTTCTGTTTTGTTTTGTTTTTCTTTTTAAAACGGGATTTCTTTGTGTAGTCCTGGCTGTCCTGGAACTAGCTCTGTAGCCCAGGCTGTCCTCGAACTCAGAGATCCACCTGCCTCTGCCTTCCAAGTGCTGGGACTAAAGGTGTGGGCCACTGCCACCCAGCTGATTAAACATTTTCTTTATCAATATAAGTAGCACTGCCCGTTGTCATTATCTTTCCTCCATATCTGGCTTCAGTTCTGAAAAGGCCACTCACTAGGAAGTGCCAAGGCTGTAATGACTTCGCATAAGCACCTGCCCATCACTCCAGTGGCTGAGAACTTGTAGCTGCTTTACTTTCTTGAAAAAGGCCACAAACCTATTCCAAATGTGCCACACTCACACCTGCCTTCTGGGCATAAAAGGCACTCACTTTTCAGGAAGCCCAGAAGAACCCAGTCAGTTCCAAAGCTGACTGGTCCATCTGTAGTCTGACCCCACCCCTTTCTATACTATTTATCTGTGCCCTTGCTCTCTGGAGATGGATTTCAAGCTACACCCTCGGCCACAAACCACATTGCTCTTGTTAATCTAAAAGCAGAGCAGGTGGGCATTAATCCATTTCAGTTTTCTGGAGAACCAGGCTGACAACTACACCTTGTCAACAGAAGAACACCTCAACCCCATTCATTTTCCAGAACCATAGACAACCAGTGACATGGGTTTTAATGTTTTCATTTGGTCAAGAATATCCTATAAATAAGCCTTAATTTCTATTTCATCTCAAGCCCCATTCCAGCCAATGCAGGTCCGCTTCATAAATCGAAGCAGCCCCCAATGGCAGTGATTTGGGCAAGCCCTGACTGTCACGGACACACGGCTCTCCAGGCCAACTTAAACAGCACCGTTGACCTAACTCAAACCTCACCAAGGGCACACACCATGATCACTAGTGTTCCAGCAATGAGTTTTAGCTTTATTAGTAAAAACATGACTATGTGAAAAAGACCCCGGCAGACATTCACAGAGCACCAGAATCCTGGCCACAGCTGGCTGACCTGTCCCATCTCACCCCTGTAAATGGGAACACTGTTAACTGACAGAGGTGGCAACAGTTATTTTGGACTCTTATAAAAGCTGTGCTGGGACATACTGTTCACACAGATGCTGGAAGACTCAACAAGCGACTCCACACTGAGTGCTAATAATATGCCACGCCTCAGAAGTGCCCGAAAAGTCCAAGATGTGTGGATGAAGAATGACTCGGGGTTCTGCTTGAGAGCAACCTTCTCAACATGGAACCATGGAAATGGACAGACATCAGGACTGCACCTCAGGAGGTGAAGTCAGAGGCTCGGGGCTCCTGTGTTTGCCATTCTGTTTGCGAGACTCCACCTGCTAAGCAGTCTGGGCTGCTAGGCACATACCATGCAGTTCTATGTTCAGGCTAGTCTCAGACTCATGGCAATTCTCCTGCCTCAGGCTCTGAAATGTTAGGGTTATAGGCATGCAGCACATCCTGCTTGAGATATAGGGGTGCCATAAGTGTGTGTGGGCTGGGCCCTTGATTGGGTGGCTCGGCTATCTGGAGAGAAAGCAGTGCTGGGTCTCTCCCAGGGTACTGACAGCATTAATTTGCAGATCTATCTTCTAGGAGACAGGCACTGGGGTGACAAAAAAAGACTAAGATCACGCATGAAGATTAAGACAGGAAGGCCGAGGACCAAATTTCATGGAACACACACACTGGTAGAAAGGTGAGGAAAAGGTTCAAGGGCAGAGGAGTGGAGAGAGGAGACAGGCTGAGGGAAGAGCGCTGAGGACTGAAAGGGAGGAACCAGTTCTGCACATGGGACTTGTTGTCAGCAACTCTAAAGCATTCAGATCCAGAAGAGGACAGGGGTGTAGAATCCCTTCTGAAACAGACCATCAAAGGCTGTGACCAGGTTAAAAAGCACTCCAAGGACTACAGCCCTATGGCCCCACAGTCCCAAAAGTGTTGATTCCCTTTTGGTTCCAGTATTCTGTCCTTATGGGGCACAGGACACTATCCACTATGGAAAAATGTTCACAACTTCTTTTAAAATTGCCCTCAATTTTAAAAGTATTGGCCTGCCGAGATTAAAACACACCACAAAGCTATACTATTAAAACAGTGTGGCAACGAAGGCGCCCAGATCATCTGGAAGTGAATTCAAATGTTAAGTCAACGATAATTATAAGGTGACATTTTACAATAGAGAACAATGGGTCAGTTAACCACGGAATGATGGAACAAGGGGTTGGCGAAGGGGTAAGGCCCCGTGGTATCTTGTAACTGTGAACCTGGGTAGTGTAATTCCCGACACACCACAGTCTCTGGTCCTGTTTTCCATTACAAGTTCAGAGAACCCTAAAGGTATGACTGGGTGTGACGGCAGAGATGGCTATTTGCTCAACTGTCATGGCTCATGGAACGGGAAACCAAGGTCACAAATGATCTGGAAGCGCAAGCCCTGGTCTCCAGACCTCTGGCTGCCTCTCGGGCTGACTGTCACCAAGGTTGGCATCACGGTGGCATTGACTGAGTTCATCAGGAAGGAGAACGTCCACCTGGATGGACGGCTGCCTGGATGGCCGTGGGAGGTCCATGAAATGGGGGGCCTCAATCAGGCCACCCCGGCCACCCCGGGTTCAACTGGGATACCCCAGGCCGCCGTGAACCCGTCGGGGTTCCGTCAGGCCACTCCAGGCTACCACGAGGCAGTCGGAGCTCAGAGCACCCTCGGCCACCATAAGGCCGTCGGGGCCCAGTGCTCTGCGACCCCTGCCGGGAGTCACTTCCGGGTCAGGCCCGACGGCCCGCTCCTGTCTTCCGCCAGTGGCGGGGGGCCCCCGCCCGGGGTCACGGAGGCCCTAGCTCGGCTTGGGGTCGTGACCTTGGCGGTCCCCGGGTCCGGGGCTCAGCCCCGCTTGTTCCGTCACCCCCGATGCCAGGAAGCTCCCCGACGGCGCCGGAAGCGGTAGCCGCGCCCGCACTCACTCAAAGACGTGCTCCGAAGTCCAGATCTTCATGGTGCCAGCCGCCGGCCCGGTGTCCCGCGGCGTCCCGGGACGATGAGGCACAGAAGTTCACCGGCCCCGCCCCGTCCCGGCCGGCCGGCCTCGCAGCGCGCAGGCGCCGTCGGGCCCAGCGCGAGGGCGCCCGGAAGTGCTGTCCCGCGGCCCAGCCGAGCCGGTTAGGCCCCGCCCCTCGGCACAGCCAGGCCCCGCCCCTCGCGCGCGGCACAACTAAGCCCAGCCTCCGTGAGGGCTCAGTGCGCCGGCGCAGAGCTGGAGAGCTCGGAGGCCGGCGGGCGGGCGCCGTCCTGCGCATGCGCGGACCTTGGCGGCGGGATGTTTTGCGTTTGGCGGGTTCCTGAAACATGTCAAGTCTTCTCTTTGGACGTGGCCAATCCTGGCGGCGTTCACCAGAGCACACTTTCGTGATGTTGTCTTAGAGAGTTCGTCCCACCTTTTACTTAAAGCTAAACGATTGTGGGTCGCAGTCAGCGCTGTGCCTATTCATTCTCCTTGCCAGCCCCAGGGGTCGTGACCCTTGGTGGGACAGGTTGCCCATCCACCATGCAGGGACCACTGTCCCGCCACGGGAGCAGTCCGAGCATGGAGGCCTAGACAGGGCTGGAGCAGGGGCCACCGGCCCAGGCAAATTACTCTAGGGTCATAGGTCATCCCCAGCACCATACCTCATTGATGCCCACGCCCTCCTGTGCATCCACAACTTCCTGTTACATATTTCTTAGCAATTACCACTGTGAGATCATCGTGTTTATCTGCTTAACTCCCACCAGAAGTCAGCCCCAGAATGCCAGCTCTGGCCTGTCTCCAGGATGGCCCTCGGCGCCTCTGGATAACAGAGGTTCAAAGGTTATTGAAAAATGCAATAATTATTTGAGTAATGAATTAGTTAAGCCATCTCGTTTATCTGCTTGACTTCTAGTCTGTAGGCACCTGAGGGTGAGGCTCTTGCTAGGCTCGTTCAGTGATTTCCTCCCTGTACCTACCTAATAATTACGGATGACATTCGTGAGTGAATGACTAAGTGAGGGGGCAGGAGCGGATGGCATGTGGTTCTATTCAGAGATTCACCGGGTAAGGTGGACGAACTGGCTTGGGTTTTAGGTATAGCTTCTCACCTCTGCTCATCCTGTTCCCCCCATCCTGTGCCTCCCGACTGAACAATTTGCTATTTGAAATGATGGTTGGAGGGAAATCTTGGTACTTAAGGAGCTCCTTCGAATTAACTGTTTCATTTTTGTCCCTAGTTTGTTCAATTGTTAAAAACAAATAAAAGGTTCATTTAGGAGGGCAGATCATTCTTTTTTAATAGCCAACGCCATTTAAATAAAAACAAAACAAAACAAAAATTACATTAGATGGGGAGGAAATAATATGGTTGGCAGCTGCTAAGTGCAATTGGTGGTACCTGGGCTTTTTTTTTTTTTTTTTTAAGATTCAGTCCCTTGAGTGGTTTCTTGGGGAGGTGATGCTTCAAGGGCTGCTGAGAGTGGCTCAGCCGTGATTAAGATGTGTGGATGTGTGAAGTTACCGTTGCTGGATGTTACTGGCTCCGGAACCATCAGTACAGAACAGTGTCCCTGATGCCCTGGAGCTTTGTGAAGCTATTCTCCAGAAAGCAGTCCTATCTT